GCGGCGAGGAGCCCAGGGCTGGGACAGGGGGCAGCGAAAATTTTTTTTGCTTGGGGCGGCAAAAAACCTAGAGCCGGCCCTGGCTGTGCTGAGAACATGCAATGTTTATAGTTGCATTTTGTTCAATCAGTTTTCAGTCTATGATTTTTACAGTAGGAGCCAACAGACCACAGGTTGAACTTCCAAAGGGGTCCAGCACCTCCATTCAAACTTTAAGGGTCAGCAATGAAAAAAGGTTGAAAACCCCTGGCATAGAGAAAAGGGACCAATTCTTTTATTTGTTATTTTGAAACAAATTATCCACTTTCTAAAATAAATATGACAGCCTAAAAAAGAATACCTTTAACATTCAATTCACGCATAACAACAAATCAGTTTCACCTCCTAAAAACTACCCATAATCTGAGATCAAAGAAAGAATTATAGAAGTGTAAAAATAAAACAGCAAGATTTTTCTATGCAATGTTTTTGAATTCACGGCCCCACAGGGGAATGGAATACTAATTGTTTTAAACAACTTAAGTAACCAAATGAGTCCTTGGAACAATTCAACAGTAAACTGCAAATTACTTATAAATTATAGTGTGGATTGTGCATATAGTATATTTTTCACTTGAAAAATTCTTTTAGGCCTCAATTAGGCATTATAATATGGAACTGAGTAAATCATGTCATCTGATCTTGCTTTCTAGTCTACCAAAACCATCTGTTCAGGATTACACACAATCCCAATCACTTTTGTTTCAACTTCAAGTTTCTTAAATTTTAACTAGTAAATCTGTAAATAATAGGTAACTAAAACACAGAAATAAAATCAAACCAAAGTAAACACTTAAATCCTCAAGTCAAAATTCCAGCTAACTGAATGAGCTTGAAACCAAATTTAGGCATATCTGCAAGAAACACTTCAGGATTCTGATCAAGCTCTTCATTTAACACAGATAGTAGGCTCAAGTAAGTACTAGATTAAAAGATTAGTATCTGAACTTTTTCTCTAGTAGTTATCAAAGACAGTAGCAAAACAGTTTTTACAGTTTGAGAAGAAAAATTAGAAGCTACTAGTGTTGTTTACAAGTACCCATTGTGTATTCACTACCAGTTCTAATGTCTTTCTTCTTGAGATTTTTCATGTCTCATGAATGGAGCAATTTACCATTAGGATACACAAATTAATCTTTAAATGCATACCTTTTCTCCATAGAAATCTAGTATATTAACCAATTTATTGAGCTAAAAAAGTCAGTATGGCCTACTAACAATCACTATCATCATAAGACTAGGCTTGGAAGGATTAGATTTCTTTTTTTAAATCAGTAAATGTCAGTAAACTGCAATTTCATCACACACAAACAAACCAATGAACAAATATTTCTATTAATAATCAAAATTTAGAGATAGGCAAATTAAGAAAAATGCTGCTGAGAATTTGGAGCTGAATTTAAGGACATTTATGTTTTATATTTAGACGTGATGGTGATAATTTGTTTTCTAACAGTTACGAAGTTTCATCTTTTTGAAGCTCAGTATTTTTCATTCAATTGTCTGATCCCCCTTGTCCAACCCTTCCATAATTTACCAAAACTGTGAAAATTTAAAGAGAGAATTGGAAAAGAATGCTTAAAACCCACCATTTTGCACAACTGTGAAAACTGAAATTGATAAAAAAAATTAGAAAAGCTTAAAAATATAGACCTTATCCACTACACTGTGGGGAGAGGTAGATATGCTGGAGAGTAGGGATAGGGTCCAGAGTGACTTAGACAAGTTACAGGATTGGGCCAAAAGAAATTTGATGAGGTTCAACAAGGACAACTGCAGAGTCCTGCACTTAGGAAGGAAGAATCCCATGCACTGCTACAGGCTGGGGACCAACTGGCTAAGCAGCAGTTCTACAGAAAAGGACCTGGGGATTACAGTGGATGAGAAGTTGGATATGAGTCAACAGTGTGCCCTTGTTGCCAAAAAGGCCAACGGCATATTGGGCTACGTTAGTAGGAGCATTGCCAGCAGATCGAGAGAAGTGATTATTCCCCTCTATTCGGCACTGGTGAGGCCACATCTGGAGTACTTAGGGTGACCAGATCACTCAAGTCAAATATCGGGACACGCGGGGGGGGACGGGGACGGGGCCAAAAAAAACAAAACAAAACACCCTTCCTCCACAAGCGCTGGAGGGAGGCCCGGGAGACGCAGGGGAAGTGCGGGGCCAGGGTGAGTGAGAGTCCGGCCTGGCCCCGAGCAGGCAGGACTCAGTCGGGTGGTAGGGAGAGTAGGGGGGCGGCCCGCGGTGCCAGGCGGCAGCTGTTCTCCCCCCCCGGGCAACGGGACTCAGGAGCAGCCGCTGCTGCAGCTCCCACTGCCG